GGTGGGCCGGTGGAGCCACTGAAGTGGTGGCTGGTCCTTGTCACAGCACAAGGCAGGTGGGAAAATGGGCTGATAAATGAGAGCTGGGTGTCTCATACTCCCCTGCTCTGATGAACACCTCCTGGTGCTTTGGGTTGTCTGCCCCATGGTCCTATGCCTTGGTGAGCAGTTCCTGTTGGGGCTGCTCAGGGTTAATCCTGACTGACACGCTCTGCTGCAGTGACCCCTCAGCTTTACTCAGATCCCCTGCTTTGGCCCTAAAATGGATGAAGATGACATTAAATGACATTAAAATTGGTGCTGGTTCTGCAGGCTGCAGGGTGCCAGTGATCTGGGCGCCTTGCTCCTAGTGTATAGGAGCTGGGACCAGCATTACCATGATGCACAGAGAGCAGCATCTATTGAGCTTAGCAGCACTGTGAGTGCCTAAATCCATTTTGAAGCCAGCAGTCTGAATTTGCTCTGTAATCCCTCTGTGCCTCAGTTTCCCCTATTTGAAGTGGGGCTAATAGTAACGGTGTTTTGGGATGTGGATGAGCTCTGTGTGCTGTCTGCCTTGGAGAACCAGGCTCTGAGCTGCTATAAACAGGAGCTAGGATGGGCACAGCACCACATCCAACCCTCTTGGTCCCAAATGGGACCAGGCAGTTACCTGGGTCTTGTGCAATGATGTTGAAGGACTCGGAGCACAGTCCTACCTTTTGACCATCAGTGTGACCCATGCAGGTTTGTGTTGGCAATCTCTGGGGTTAGGCACTGGGAGGTGAACCCTGTGAAGGGCTGGTGGGCAGTAGGTGATTCTGGGGATGCGATAAGGCTGGAGGTGATGGGGCTTTTGGACCAACTGACCCTTTTCAGCCAGATCTTGCAAAAGGAAGAGCTCTTGAATGCAAAATGTTCCTTAATGAAAACTGCCTTTTTTTTGATGATGATGAGGGATGGAAGTTCTTGTGGGGAAATGGGTCTGATTATCACATAAGCTCACAGGGCAGTGCAGCATCTTCACTTGAGCAGCTGTCCTAAAGGTACCGGTCCCTTGGTGCATTGCTTCCTCTTCCCCTCCTGGTTTCTTGCCCTTCACTTTTCTCTCTTTATTTCTCCTCCCCCTTCCTTGCAGAGTCAAGAAGAAGAACAAGCCCTTGAACCTCAAGATCCACAACAGCGTGGGGAGCTGCGAGAACATCCCCGCGCAGCGCTCCCCACTCCTCTCCGAGCGCTCCCTGCGCTCCTTCTTCGTGGGGTACCCGCCTTTCCTCCCCTCCACCCCTCCTGTCCACACCGAAGCCACCTTCTCAGCAAGTAAGTCCAAGGACCATGAGGTGGGTGATGGTTGATGCCAAGCAGAGGATGTGGTTGTGGGAAGCTCAGGGTGTCTCTGGCGCATTGATGGTTGATGGAGGATGTTGGTTGAGTGATGTGCAGGTGCCTCACATCAGTGTCTAGAGATGTGTGGGTGCTTCTGTGCAAGTATAAGCCTGGAAACTTCGTAATATATATGTCTGTCTACATACAAATCCACTGTAATATTAAATATTGATTCATGCAAACAGATCTGCTCCCCCATCTCAATAACCTGGGTGCAAGAGGGTGGCTGCTGTCATTTGGAAAAGCCATGAGCCTTTCCATGCTTGGTGACACTGGCTGTCACCTGAGAGTGACTTTTCCATGGGCTCCTCTGTAAATCCAGCTGTGGTTTTACCTTCATGCAAGGAGGCTGCTTTCCTCCTTTTCTATGCTTTTTTCTCCTGTACGTGAGATTTTGAGCGAAGGTGGAGTGTTGTGTGAAGGCAGCCCCAGTGCAGACAGGTGTGGTGCAAACCCCATGGAGCTTGATCGCAGCATCCAGCCCCCCTGTGAGTCTGCCCGGGAATGGGGTGCCCTTTTCTGGGAGATGCTGTTGGTGGGACTCAGTGGGTGGGTTTGGATCAATGTGCTCACCCAGGGCATTGCTGCTAGCTGTGGAGAACCAGCCTGACCCTTATTCCCCAGTCTTGGAGCGGTGCTTGATGGATTCTGCAGGAATCGAAGCTTTCACAAGCTCTCAGACCAAACAAAACCCTCCCAGAAGCTGTGTGGCAGCTGCTGGGAGTGATTTGCATGCCATGAGCTCCTCTTGCTTCCCACTGCTCAACTGAAAACTCCAGCTCCACATCCCAGCTGGGTTTCTGCCACCTTCCCCATCCCAGACTTTTCCTCTACTTTACTTTCCCAAAATGTGGTCGTTCTGGCTCAGTTTGAGTTCTTCCAGTGGTTTTACTGCTTGTCTCTTTACTGAAGAAGGGGTTTACAGGGAACATCCCTCCCTGCCCATCCAGCCCCCTGGCACCAGCAGGTTTTCCTCTCCCTTTATCTCTCACCAGGGTGGGAAGCAGCATCAGGACACCTCTGCAAGGCAAAACCCTTGTGATTTCTTTCTTTCTGTCTTTGTTTTACACCAATCATCTGTTGTTTGGGGTCACTGAAGACTCATTGAGCCATTTCTGGCATCCTTTTGCTGCCCTTTCTTTGGCTTTAGGGACAGTGTGACCTTGCAGGAGCTCTGTGGGCACCTAGAGGTGTCCATCGACCTGGCTCTCAGCAGGTTTGCCTGGAGCAAGGGGTATTTTTCCATTCCTCTTACCGTGTGGCATCAGCTGAGTTCAACCTGGGATGATGTTGATTAGCAGAGCAGAAACCAAGAAACAAGACCTGTTCTCAACATCCCCCTCCACGGTGTCTTGTTGTACTGGATTACATCCCGCGCTGTGATAACCTGATGGAATGTGGCATGGCAGGAACGGGATACAATGAGAAGTGATGGGCTATCAAGTGACTAACACTGCTGGAGAGGTGTCTCTTTTCATTTCCCTCTGCCCTCCACCTTTCTTGGCTGCGGTTGATGCTTCTTTTCTGGGGTAGATGTAAGCCATGGAGAAGGGAGGCTTGGTTGCACCAGCTGGTTGATCCCCATTGAGAGGTTTTAGCGTCACTGAAACCATTTGGTCCTGGCAGGCTCAGCATCCATCCACTCACTGACCCTCAATCCCAGGGACTTGTGGGGAAAATATAATGCAAGGCCAAAAAATGAAAGTTTTTTTCCTAGCTCTTTTGTATTTCTACATCATTTCTGCACTGGTGGCCTTGTCCTGGAGCTGCATCCCAGGTTTCTGTCTGCTTCCATGTCTGCTTCCCGGTTTGTGACCCTGTGGAAGAGTGGCGCATCCTGTTCATGGCAGCCAGGTGCTGATCATGGAGAGACAGGGGTTTGGTCGAACTTGATGCCAGGGCTTGTTAGCTTATGGAGAGAAGATGAGTGATGGCAAGGTGCAGAGGCACATTTATGTGTGTATGGGGAGGAGTAGGTATCTGCAGCTTTCCCCATGCTCCATGTTGCCATTATGGGACCTGGCTGGCTTCCCCCTGCTCTGCACATGGTGCTTTGTGTGTCCTGTTCTTCCTTATGTTCAACCTGAATCCCCCCTGTTTAAGTTTGAACCCTATTGCTCCAGTCCCTGACAAAGAGTCCCTCTCCAGCATCCTTGTAGAACCTGGAAGGCTGCTCCACAACATCCAATCCCTATGACCATGGGTACCTAAACCTTTATAAAATCCCAACAGCAAAATACCCCTTCCCTTTTTCCCTGGTGGGATCAGCGTGGCAGCACCTGGTATGCTCTGGATTGATATGGAATGACTTCCCCAAGCACTGAAAGAGAAAACTGTTGTGGTCGATGGATTGAGATGCAGGAGAGGAGCCCGGCGAGCCCTTGGCCAGACCCTTCTCTCCCTGGCTGACTCTCAGGGATCTCTTTTCAAGCGGCAGTGTGTCTTGCTGCTTGCGGCAGGAGCATGCTCCCATCTGAACCGCCTCTGGTCCTGCTCGGATGCGGGTTTGGATGCCTCTCGCTTGTTTTTAACAGCCAGTTTGCCCTGATAGGAGCTGATTTCCACAGACGTGGAGCAAGAGCACGAGGGTTGGCAGTGAGATGTGAAGGAGCCTCTTTCTTCTGCAGCACAAATCCTGCTGTAGGGGTGAAGTTCCCTGCATGCAGGGCCAGGATCCCTGTGAATTTGGGTTTGGAACTGATGTTTTTCCTTAGCAGCCCTTGGAAGGGAAGTAAAGACTTTTGGGGTGCCCTCGAACTCCAGTTTGGCCCTGAAGTAGCCCATGGCTGAGGGACAGAATATGCTTTGTCTGGCTGCATCCAGGCCCCTCTCTTGGTGCTTCAGGCCCCCTGCAGTACAAGCAACCACCAGAGACATGTTGTTACTTTGAAATAGGATTTAGGATTGAACACCCCATGACTTGGCTACAGGTGCCAGAAATCAGGTTGGATCTTCTCCTTTTGACTGTAAAGGCTCATGTCTAGTAGGTCTTGTTTGTGTCTCTGTTATCTGGGTGTCCTGGAGGTGGCTGTTGTTGCTCCCTCTGCCTGTCTCCTCTCTGCTGCAAGTCCAGCCACTGTCACCGTGTGCATCCAGATCATCTGCTTGATGTTCTCCAGGATGGACCAACAACATTCAGGTTAGATGAAAGGCAGAAGCGCTTCCCTGTGAGGGTGCTGAGGCGCTGGCACAGGGTGCCCAGAGAAGCTGTGGCTGCCCCATCCCTGGCAGTGTTCAAGGCCACGTTGGACACAGGGGCTTGGAGCAACCTGCTCTAGTGGAAGGGGTCCCTGCCTGTGGCAGGGGTTGGGACTGTGGAGGAGCTTAAGATCCTTCCTGACCCTTTCTCCTTAACACTGTTCCAGCCCAACCCCCTTCACAGGGGACTTACCAAGTGGGCCACCATTTATTTGTGTGGCTTTCTTCTCTCTGAACCTGCCCTGCAGCTGTACAAGCCATGGTATGAGCACTCACTGGATGTGTTGGCAGTCTAGCTGGGAGCTGCCTGCAGCTCACATCTGGCCACAGCTGGCTGCTTTGCCATTGGGCAATGGGAGGGTTTCCTACACCAGCAGTGCTGTGTGGAGCTGGAGAACCCAGCCTTGAGTGACTGAAGCCAAATGACCCTGCAGGGCTGTGAACTGGGGTGGGAAATCCCAGTGTGAGTCTTTGAGGCAACCAAGTGGCTGAATGTGACATTTCAGCTGTATAATAGGATTGTCACACTGCAAAGAGGGACCGTGGGGCTATAAGGTGACTCTTTTCTTACAAGAGCTGCTCTGGAAATAGCTCTGCTGCTTTCGGCTGCTCCAGGTGATCCCCACTGGACTGGATCATCCCTCATACACAGCAGGGGCACTGCAGGGCTTGGACCTGGCTGGACTGTGTGCAGGACGTTTGCTGTGGGCAGGTTTGGCTCCTGTTTCAGCTTGAATCCTACATGGTCCCTGCAAGTGTTCACACCCCGTGTTGACAAGACCCTCAGTGCCAGGGGTTAGTGGTGGCCTTGGCAGTGCTGGGGAACAGTTGGACTTGATGAGCTTAAAGGTGTTTTCCAGCCTGGTTGATTCTGTGATTCTATGTCAGGGGGAAGGCGAGCTGCTGGTGCTGCTGGTCTGAGTGTTGCTGCAGTTTCCTTTGCTGCTGCAGCTGAGCTGTTTGGGGATCTCTCCCCTCCTATTTTGGCCCTAAAACCAGCTAAAGTGAGCACTGGGGTGTCTTGTGCACCCTTTGTCGCAGAGCAGCTTGCTGATGTGCTTGGCTCCCCAGCTGGGACCATGCAGGCAATAACTTTAATAGCTTGAACCTGCCAGAGGGGAGACTGAGATGTGCTCTGAGGCAGAAGCTCTTCCCTGTGAGGGTGCTGAGGTGCTGGCACAGGGTGCCCAGAGAAGCTGTGGCTGCCCCATCCCTGGCAGTGTTCAAGGCCAGCTTGGACACAGGGGCTTGGAGCAACCTGCTCTAGTGGAAGGTGTCCCTGCCCGTGGCAGGGGTTGGAGCTGGAGGAGCCTTAAGGTCCCTTCAAACCCAAACCAGGCTGGGATTCTGCCAGCATCCTTCACCATCATGGCCCCGGGCTATTTCTGCCTGGGTGTGCTGTGGTAGAGATACACCTGACAGTGGCCCTGTTGTGGTTGTCTTCCATGTGATTGTTGAACTGTTTTGGGAGAAGGCTTCACCCTGGTGCCACCCCATAATCTCTCTGGGGGACTCAAGCACCCTGGGGCCAGTGCCTGGAGTGTTCTGGTGGCTGCTGGGAGTGGATGCAGGTCTGGAGGATGTCTACAGAGAAGTGCAGAGTCTCCTGGCCACCCCTCAGCTCTGCAGTGATTCATCCCGGGATGCTTTCCAAGTGCACTTCCATCGATTTTATCCATCCCATTCATATTGTGAACATCTCCTGACTCTGTTTGTTGTAGTAGGAGGAGGAGGGTTTGTTTATCGGGCTGTCGCCGTGATGGATAACACATTCACACCAATTCCCTGGGCATCCAGAAAGGTGCCAGGAAATGAAGAAGGGGAATATACTGCGCCAAAACACAGACCCTGTTGGTGTGGTTTGGCACGGACCAGCCCCAGGTGATGCCCCTGGTGTATTCAGTGATGGTGTTGGGGCTGAATGTGCCCCTAGGGAGGGTGGAAACCCAAACCCAGTGCAATAGGGGAGCTCTGGCTGCTCTTCTCTTCGCTGGCATCCCACAGACAGGAACAGAAGGGGGGAAACATCAACACCGGCTGGAACCTGCACGCCGGCTGTCGGGAGGGCAGCGGGGGCCAGGAGGGCGTCACGGCCAAGGTCCCTGTCACCTCTGAGGTGTGTGGGTGCCACTCATGGACCGGTGGCGCCTGTCACTGCTGCCTGTCACCGCTGCGAGCCGGGCTGCTCTTCCATGTCTGCTGTCACCAACGTGCCGGAGGCGGCTGTCACCCTCCATCCGGGCGCTTCCCCCCTTCCCTGTCTCCTCCTGGCACATCTGATCCCGTCAGGCGCAGGCTGTTGACTCAAGGATGAGCTGTGCTGCATGGAGCAGGAGCCTGGAGCTTTGCCGGCACAATGCTATGGGGAAGGAAAGCAGTGGAGGTTTTGGGGTGTCCGGGTGCAGGGTGGCATTCCCTGGCATTCTGTGAGGATCAGCGTGCTAGGTGACACTGGGCACTGCTCTACTGAGGAGCAGGGTTTGGCCTTTGAGGGTCCCTCTAGGTGATGGGGAGGTGGGAAAGAGATGGTGGTCGGCCCTGTTGGCTGCTCAATGGGTACCAGTCGCGTTCTACTGTGGGAAATTACACCCGTGCCCATTAAATTCCATCTTGGAAGAGGAGAGAAGGGGAAAAAACATCCTTAACCAGCCCTCGCACATGTGTGTGAGGGGGTGATGGCTGAGAGAGCCTTGATTATCAAGCCGTAAAGGAGGTTGATGGTGACAAATGTTTGAGTAATGACTGACACACGGGCAGGGAGGTCGGGAGGCATCAGTTGCTCATGGTCATTGCTTGGGGTGTCGAGCTGCCGGCAGCAGGAGCAGGGAGGGAGGTGGGGAAGGGGCTGTCATGCTTCAAAGCTCACAAGGACCAACTCATCCTCATACTGTGGGGCAGCCACAGCACCTTGGATCTGGCCCTTCTCCATCACAGGGTCCCTCTGACAAAACCAGGCCGCCCTTGCAGCATCGAGACGTGATCCTGAGTCTATGAAGGGCTTTTTTTTCTTGCATTTACCTCTAATTGTGGCAAATGTGGATTTTTGAAGAGAACATGCCTCCTGTGCTGGGAGACTTTCCCTTTGGGCATCACCCTGATACCCCCTTAGCACAGGGAGGAACAGCTTTATCTTTGGGTGGGAGTCTCAAGGGCACGGGTTAAAGGGGAGAATCACCAATGAACTCCAAAGCCTCCCAAGCCTTGAGGGCTGTTTCCTGCCCTCCTGCCCTGCTTTGCTTGTTTTTTCTCCTGCAATCAGCAGGTCTATTGTTAAACACCACGATCCTCCACGTATCGTTCTCTCTAATGAGCATAATGAGCTGTGAATCACGTAGGGCTCATTTTTGGTAGGAGGTTAAAATCCCCGATACACTTTAATACATTTTCGCAGCGAGCACATTTAGAAAGTAATTAAAAGGCTCAGATGCTTTTGCCTACGTCCCCTCTCCTCCTCCCCGGGATGGCAGGATTTAATTGAGGCCATCAGAAAGTTAGTGGAAATAAATTGTGGCTGGTAAAGCAGAGGATGTGATTTAATTCTAGGAGAGGAGCTGTTCTTGCCCAGGTGTTCAGTTCATCAAGGACCAGTGTTGGGGATGGGGAACAGGGACTCACTTGTCTAATGTGATTTACTGATGAGAAAATGATGGTGAGGGAGGGATACACTCATGTGCGGAGCGGTCCCACTCTTCAGAGCATCACCTCTGGGGCTGGTGGACATCCCTGGGAGGTTGCAGATGGTAGTGGGAGGGATGCAGGCTCAAGAGGTGGTGAGAAGTGTGGTCAGGAATGTAAAGCAGCCACCTCTGGGGCTGGGGCCAGCAATTACCTTAATTGACTTTGTAGTCCTTCAACATCTTCATTGCCAGCTCTGCCTGAGGGGTGAGCAGGACCGAGGTGGTGGAGCCAGAGGAGCCAGTGGGAGGTGCTGAGGATGGACGTGTTTTAGGATGCTCCCAAGGCTTTTGGCAGAGCATTGCGCGGAAGAGGGATGTAAATGTAACCTTCAGAACGAGAGTGCAATTAAAGCACTGCGCCGCCTGCTATATTAAAAGGGGATATTAAAGCAAACAGTGGTTGTCCCCACTCACAGGGATGATATTGGAAGTATATTTAGTGAGGGATTTGCTGGCGTGCTGAGCAAACGGACGGACTCGGATCTGGTTGCTGGTGCCCAGGAAACCTCTGGAAGCTCTTATTGAATATCCAGCCTTTGAATCCCTGCCACAGATCTACGGCTGAGCAGCCTGTGGGCAGCACCTCTCCCATGGCAGAGGAGGAGGAGGAGGGTCTGTGCCCTTGCTGAGGCTGGAGAGGGATGTGAGTCCAAGCATGGCTGTGCTTCTAATGACCTGCCTGCTCCAGTGGGCGATAATGAACATCTCTCTTCTTCCTTACACAGCCAGGGTCCTGCTACTCCTTCTCCCTCCTTTTCCCTTAACAGGAGAGCGCGGAGGCTGCTTTCCACTTTGTTCTTCTACTTGAAGCTGAGTTAAATTGCCTTTGTTCAGCCACGACCGCAAGATATGATGGCTTATTAATAAATGATGCAGTTTCATCTTCGCTTTCCCTTTACATTTGGACATCGTAACGTGGCTCCAATCACTTTGCAACCCTGCTCTGTGTGCACATGGATGCAGCACTCATGGGGAGGGTGCATCACCTCGCAGCTTTCTCCCTGGACCGAACTGGGTGCTGGGGGCTGTTATGGGGGAGCAGAAGACCCCAGTTCCCTGCGGACCCAAGCACAAGGGCAGAGGCCTCTTGCTTTCCAGAAAGGGAGCCCAACAGGACATGTCTAAGGGGAAATATCAGGCAAACCCCTCTTTTTTGTGTGCACCCTTCGCTCCCCCTGCCAAAAGCTGGAGCCCTGGCTATCACCTTTGTTACCAGCTGATGGTTTTCCTTGTCTCTCCTCTCCTGCAGATACGCTGTCAGTGCCTCGCTGGTCCCCGCAGATCCCCCGTCGAGACCTAGGAAACTCCATAAAACACAGGTACCCAACCAGTGAATACCCCAATGCCAGTGATGGGCATCTCCCTTTCCACCTCTGGTCCAGGATGTGGGGCTTGGGGCTGTTCCCCAGTTTCCTATGCTGGGCTGTGCTGTCCTAGAAGCCCACTTAAATTCCATTTCAGTTCAGATTTGGTTTAGATAAGGCTGGAGTCACTATCAATAAAACTCATGTATTATCCATGACCTTGCCAACCCTCAGCACACTTCCCATCTCTGGATTATTGCCCTTCCATGTCTACCTTAAGGAGGAGAAGTTCTAGAAATAGCCTTGGTTCTGCTATTCCATGGGGCAGCCACTCCTCCAATGGACCCAGGGCAGGGGGGTGTTCTGGGGGCTCTGCCCAGGGCAGAGACGGGGAGCTGCACCAGCCAGTGCCTAATGCCCATCCTGGCTGGCTTGGTCTCCCTTTGGAGCTGACTGTGCCCTTTTGCACAAGGGGGAGCTCAGATTTGTGCTTTGGCACCCCTAGGAAGATGCCTCAGCATCCACGGGGGCAGCAAGGAACGGATAAATCAGGGCTCGGGAGTGAAGCGTGGCTTGGGAGTTGTTCCTGCAGGAACACAAATGCGGTGGTGCAGCTTCATCTCTCTCTGGCCACTCTCCGTGTTCCTCTCCGCAGGTTTTCCACCAAGTACTGGATGTCTCAGACCTGCACTGTCTGCGGGAAAGGAATGTTGTTCGGCTTAAAATGCAAGAACTGCAAGTACGGCTTGGGGCTGGAGCTGTGGGGCTGCTCCTTCCTGCTGGGATGGGGATAACTGAGGTTCTGCTGGTGGAGCCAAGCAGGAACGCAGGCATGGGGAAAGCAGCTGGCCTCTTGCCAGCTCATCCTTACAGGATGCTGTAATGAGGCATGAAATTGGGTGAAGACCACCCTAAAGTGGGGTTGAGGCTGAGTCTGTGTGCTGGGCATGGGAGGGGGTGCTCAGGGAGGATGCTGCCCACCAGACCTCGGCTCCAGAGCTCCAAGTCGGATCCTGACAGCCTCCCTGCTCACCTCCATCCTTGGCCTGGCTTTAGGTACCCATGTTATAGAGGTATGTGTGGAGCTATCTGCATGAGAGAAGGGGAGGGATGTGCTGGACTGGGGTCTGAGAGCGGCTCAGTTGAGAGCATCAAGGGGTAGCTCTGGGCATCAGATGGGTTTTATCCACAGCCCTGGGCTGTATCCTCTATTGTTTGCAGCAGCAAAAAGCTTGGGCACCTCTGGTTCCTGGCAATGTCATGGCACCAAGGAACCAACCCACTCAAAGCAGCAGTAAAGCAAAAGAAAGGAGCTGTTATGGCTGGAAAATTGGATAAGGCTGGAATATTGGGTAGGTCTGGATAAAGAGAGGGGAGCAGAGGCCACTTCTACTGCTTTAAATCCTAACCTGTCAGAGCCCAGCTCTTACACGGTATCGTGCAGCCATCAGCACTTAGAAAAGCTGCTTCTGGAGACAGGACTGCCTTTTCCAGGGATGAGTGCTGGGAATAAGCCGATTGACTGCGGGTAACTGAGTTAGCTGGAGCTATGAAGTGATAACGATCCCTGTTGCCATTGATTAAATGCTGATGAATTAGCAAATTGGGATTAAAATGCGGATAAGAAATGCCCCATTACTCTGCAGTTGATGGTGGCTTTCTGGAAATGATATTATCAAATCTATATATATTGAAGTGGGGATTCCCATTGTATTCAATGCTCAAGCAACTGGAGGCTTTGTTGCCTGCCTGCTCTGCATGCCCAGGGCTGGTCCCCATGCAGGAGGGATGCAGGGACCTGCACCTGTGATGCTCTGACTCTGTGTTGATTCTGCTGCCTGTAGTCACTCAGGAAAAAAGCCAATCGATTTCCTGGTTGTAAGAAGTTAGGGGGAATGGGAAGTACTCAGTTTCACCAGCTTTCCCCAGGAACAGGAGGGGAACAAGCAGGTAAAGCAAACAGACCCCAACCCCCCCAAGCCTCCAATAGTGAATTAATCTCTGCCTTTCCCTCTAGGAATGGTTCTGTAATAAAAGCTAACATGCGCAGTTCCTGAATTTTCATTACCCAGCTCATTGACTTGGAGCTGCAGTCTTTTTTCATCCTTTACCCTTGTTTTTTTCAATCCTTTCCTCTGTTTTGCCTCTTCCTCCGTGGCTCCCCCCATTCCACTGGGGCAGAGCAGGATCCAGGAACTCTTTTCTGTCCCTCATTAAGAACAAACAGGCAAGTTTTGGGGTGGCAGGAGCCTGCTCATGCCTCTATGCATGACCCAGGGGTGAAGCCCTCCATAGACTCCTCTGCAGAATATTCAACCTAGCCATAAATGTTCTCGTTATTAAATGTCCTGATACTAAAGCGAGGAGAGGAGGGCACAATGGCAGGGATTCATTGGGAGCCAAAGGGGCTGGGGCAGCTGCTTCCTTCCCCACTGCTGCTCCTGTATTTAATTAAGCAGAAAGCAATGTTAGAGGATGGTGGTCAGGGAGAAGTGGCTTTCCCTAAAGCTCAGGTCTCTGCTCCTGTTATTTTAGCTAAGGCTGCAAAAGTGACAATATTGGGCATCCTCAATCTGGTTGGTGGGTGCCTGATGCCCCACAGCCAGCAGAGAAAGGGGTGAGCTGCGCAGCACCTCAGGTCTGGGGGCTCCTGCATCCCTCCTTTGGGACTGATGCACCCACCATAGCTCTTGTTTGCTTATGCATCCTCCCAGCCAGCCTCTCCTGATGCTCCAGGACGTGCACCTGGACCACTTCTTACCCCTTTGCCTGCAGCCTAGGAGGTGGCTTGGGAATTGTGGGTGTTCCTGAGGGCAAGCTGCAGGGATCTGGGAAGCTTTGCTCATGGGAGCGGACACCCAGGGGTTGTGCACAACATCAAGTCATCTCCAAACTTAAACAGGGGAAGTTTAGATTAGATATAAGGAAGAAGTTCTTCACAGTGAGGGTGGTGAGGCACTGGAGTGGGTTGCCCAAGGAAGTTGTGAATGCTTCAACCCTGGCAGTGTTCAAGGCCAGGTTGGACAGAGCCTTGGGTGACATAGTTTAGTGTGTCGTGTCCCTGCCTATGGCAGGGGGTTGGAACTAGATGATCTTAAGGTCCTTTCCAACCCAAACCATTCTATGATTCTCAGGTGGAGAAAAGGTCCTTGATCTGCAGTGATGCTCCCTGCTCCCATCTGCATCCCTCTGACTGTGCCATGATGCTCCACAACCCCTTGTCCCTCTCTCCTCACACCTTTTCCTCTGTTCCCCGCTAGGCTCAAGTGCCACAACAAATGCACCAAAGAGGCCCCTCCGTGTCACCTGCTGATCATCCACCGCGGAGGTAAGGACCTTTCTTCTTCCTTCTGCCTCCGTGGACGCTGCCAGCAGGTAGAACATCCCAGCAGCCCCCCGGGCGATTCGGGAGCCTGCTCCTTGCTGTGCCTGAGGCTCCCGAACCGCTTGGGCTGTCCGTGAAGACGTTACCCACCGTTTTTTCCGCTTGTAGGGAGACGAGCCGTGCGGGGCGAGGCAGATTTGCATTGCAAACCACTTCCACCCACCCTTCCCCTGCCTCCTTTTCTTTTCAGATTCCCCACCGCACGGGGTAAGTGCAACAGGTTTTAGCCTTTCGCTACTGTTCAGAGCTTAGGGCAGATGTGGCATCTCGGTGCATGGGGGTCCCCGCCACGGGGATGTGGCCCTGCAGATGCTCGTGGTGCTTTTGGAGCTGCTTTATCCTGCTCTTCTCCTGGAGAGCCCATCCTAAACCCGCAGAGGAGGGAGAACTTTGCAGCAGGACGACTGGCGCCGCTACCCACCTCTTTTCTTCCAGATTTTTGGCTCCCCAACGGCCAGAGGACTGTGACCACCTAAGGGGAACACTTCCAATTTCCATTACCTTGAATTCTGAGCTCTTAAGGCTGCTACTCTGTGTTTGATACCACCAAAAACACGCTCCTTGGTTTAATTATGGGGAAATGCATTGTGCTGGTGGCACCTCGCAGGGCAAGTGGGGATGCTGTGGCTTCGAGAGGGGCAATTATGCAGCCTCCGCTCCACTCTCCATGCCCTTGCTTGCAGCAGATTTGGGTGGAAGGGCCTGAACCCCCCCCATAATACTCTGTGCTGCTGCAAACCCTGACCCAGGAGGCAGGGAAAGCAGCATTCTGGGATGGGCAGGAATTGCAGTGTGCAATGCTGCAAGAGATGCCCACTGTGTGTTTTAGCATGAGAGCAGTGTGGCTTTGGGGCAGCCTCAGCATCAGTGAAATAGCCCCCCTCAAAGCTCTTGCATATATTGTCTTGCAGCCAGCCCCCTTCCTGAGTCCCCCAAGCTGGAGGCTGGTTTTCCCTGCTCCAGAATCTCCCTGCTGAAAGCAGGATGCTCTGAGTCACCTCCTTCGCCTCATCCCAAAGAACAGCAGTGAGAAGAGGATGGTGCCTCCTGATGCTGGTTGACTCCCCAGCTCACAGGGTGGCTGTGGCAGATGCTGATCCTCCCGAATTGCAGCCCCTTGGCAGGGAGAGAAGAGTGCAGTTTGCATCTTGACACAAGGGGCTTTAAGCCCCCCATGTCCTGGTGGGGTTTGGCTGTATCCTGGGTGCAGGGGGGAGCCCGAAGCCTGGTCCTGGGGCTCATCCCCAGCGGCTGGAGGTGCTGCTGGGGATTGCTTTGGAGAGTGACTCAATAGCATTTTGCAAGCACAGGGTGACCTCAATGTGCCCCTTTGAAGCTTTGATGTGTCTCCATCTCTCTCTCCCTCCTCTCCATCCCCTTTTCCCCTCTCTCCCTTCTTAATCCAGCAAGGTTAGTCCGGACAGAGTCGGTGCCCTGCGATATCAACAACCCCTTGCGCAAACCCCCCCGGTTTTCGGACCTGCACGTCAGCCAGACGCTCCCCAAAACCAACAAACTCAACAAGGTGAGCCCTCAACACGCCCTTCGTGCCCACGCCTCTCAGAGGGCACCTTTTGCTGGTTCTTTGCAGGCAGCTGCTGCTCCTGCAGACAAGGGGTGGTCTGAGCAACCCAGCTCAGGTGGCATTTGAAAATGGCTTTGACACCCTGTTTCCCAGTGGGGATGCTCCTTGTATGAGGAGCAGCAGCTTTCCCAGGGCACATCCTTTGGGAACATCAACTCCATTTGCTGGGTTAAAGAGTAATTCCTAAAGGGAGGAATTATAGAGCAAAAGGACCATGCTCTGACCTTGTGTTTAGGCCAGGAGGGGACTGGTGGGTTGTCCCCAGGATGGGGCATCTCCCAGCCCCTCAGCCATCTGCCAGGACCAAGGTGTCTCCATGGGCCTCCAGGCACATCTACTGCTACAGGGCTATTGTGGGTGTCATCACATGGGTAGGTGCTGCCTAGAAACCTGCTTGGGGCCTTAAAACAACAATAATCCCATGGACCAGTGCTAACTCAAGAAGCAAAGCAAGGGTGTGCTTGGTGTGGATGAGCTGTGCTGGTGGCTTGGTTTCCTTTGGGTTTCCCAGTGTGGATTGCATCTCCTGAGGTTATTTCTTTTCTATATCAAATGGGATCAGCACCTTCAAAACAGCTTGTCCCCCACTGCTCTTGCTGCATTGCAACCTCCCAGCCTCTAGATCTAAACTGAATTTGGGATGGTTTGAGACCTCTGCTACCACCTGAGACTTCCATAAATGACAGATTTATTGTTATATATAGAAGCCCAGAATTTGATTGTGTCTGTGGCAAAGCTGGTCAAGCTGGACCTGAGAGTGCACCAGGCTTGCTTGCTCCTGCCCTGCATTAATAGCAATAAACCTGATGGGGGTTATTTTGCCTTCAGCGGGAGATTCCTTATGTACAGCTGGAGGTAGAACAAGGTGAGGTGTTTGCAGGCTGGAAGCATTCAAAGCAAGGGAAATCCTTGGTGTGATGTGGAAGAGGTTGTTAAAACCCTGGCTTCCCAAAGCCTGGCAGCATCCCCAGCTCCTCAGCATCCTCTGGCTCTCAGCAAAGGCTGGGTACCAGGTGATGCTCTTAAGACGCAGTTTATAAACCCAAGTCTCTTAGGAGATCCTTAGTGTGTGAGTAATGATCTGCTCTGTTGTGGTTGTTAAGGGGTGGTGCAAATGGCTTTTTGAGGCTGAAGAGCTACTGCAGGTATTCAGAAGAAATAGAGCTGCGGTTTTCCTCTTAGTGCCTGTCCTTCCAGTGATTTGTTTCATTTATGATAGGGCAGCAGGGAAGTGACTCAGCTCTCTGCTAAAGGCTTTGGGTGCGAAGGGCACCAGCCCTGTTTCTCCTCCTGCCCCTGTCGTGCAGTCCTTTCACCTTTCTCGGCTTTCCTCTAACCGGAGCGTGATGATGCTCAACACCATATATATATTTATATTCAGTTTTAAGCTGAGCACTCCCATTCTGGTTACAGTTTCCTCTATAAATAAGCTTTATGGAACAGAGACCGCTTCTTACTTTGACGTTTCTAAAAGCATTTCTTTAGAGATACTCTATTCTTTGTGAATACCATTGAAATCTGATCATTTAGTGGCCTTCAGCATTGACTTAAAAAGTAATTTATCTACCCACAATCATTGTGTGTGTCAGGATGGTCTATATGGAATAAATGTGGGTTTCCTGGAAAGCCCAACTCATTTAAAAACTAATCAATTTGGACAAAATCACCTTCTGGGTGAGGCTGGTGCAGATTTTCTAGCCTTGCAGGTATCTTGCTATGGGTTAGGAGGCGGGAGTGCTCGGTGCTGCTGAAGGTCAGACCCCATGAAGTGTCTCCACACTGGGCAGCAAGGGCATGAGCAAGGTGAGATATTCTGGCCTCAATTCTCCTTTCTCAGATCTTACACATCCAGATGGGTTCTCTTCCCTGTTTGCTCCCAGCTGGTCCATCACAGTGAGCCTGGAGGTGTGCACCCAAAGCTGCCATCCTTGCCTTGGTTAGGAAGGGTTAAAGAAGGGCAGGGGATGTCCTGGGATATGTTGGCTGATTCTCTCAACTCTGCCTCAGTGCTCTGTGCAAGGCACTGGGTTTTTGGCTTGAAGAAGGCCAGCAGGAACTACCAGCTCCTTGATGCCTTTAAGGACCAAGCCCAGGGATGTGGCCCCCAACTCTGGTCTTGGTGGCCATCCCCAGCCAGCAGGGTTGGGGAGCCCCTCAGTGTGGGTGCATAGCATGGAAGGGCTGGCAAAGGACCTCCATTTCTGGTGCAAACTGTGGATACAAACAACCTTGGAAAAGGCCAGGCTGTGGCTTTGATGGAAACGGGGAACTGGGATGATCTGTGTAGCCCTCACTTGTCACCCAGGTCCTCTGCACTGGAGCACCTTGAGGCCAGCACCGCTCTCACCAACTCCTCTCTTCTCTCCTTCCCTGTGTCCTGCAGGACCACATCCCGGTGCCCTACCAGCCAGACTCCAGCAGCAACCCCTCGTCCACCACCTCCTCCACACCCTCCTCACCAGCGCCCCCGCTGCCACCCAGCGCCACCCCCCCGTCTCCCCTGCACCCGTCCCCGCAGTGCCCGCGCCAGCAGAAGCAGTTCAACTTGCCAGGTACAGTGTCCTCCGCTCTACATCTGCCCTACGAGAGGGGTTTGTGCCCCAGGGTGTTCCTGGGGTAAGGATCTGATCTGGGTGATGCCTGCCTGGACTTACTCTGGGATGGGGAAAAGCTGGAAGCAGAAATGAGAAGCAAAGATGAGTTTAGGATAATTCAGGCTGGTAGGGAGCTTGGGAGTCTCTAGTCAAAACTCCTGCTTCAAGCAGGGTCAGAGATGAAGGCTTGATGCCGTTTGGTCTTGAAACCTCCAAGGATGGAGCCATCACGACCTCTCTGGGTGACCTGCTGTGCTTGAGGCTACAGAAACCCTTCCAGACATGACTTCTTTGAGGTGTGTGTCCCTGTATTGCCTCAACAGTAAATGGGAAACAAGGTCTTACCCCTCTACAAGGGTAACTTGGGTTGACTTCACTGTGTCTTTGGGGTGACAGGCCTCCAACAAGCTTGTTGGCAGTGTGTGTCGGGTGATAGAGGGGAGTTAGCTGATGCAGAGGGTATCTGCTATAGCTTGTCCAACTGAGTCTTGTCTGGATACCTGGGAGCCATTTGCTCCTGGAGCACAGTCTCTTCAGGGATGGTGGAAGAGGCAGTTTGGCCATGGTGCTGCAGGACACAGGAGTTCTATTAAATGGACAAAAAACCTCCTCCTGGCTTGAGAATGTGCCAGAGCCTGACCCGGCATTGCTGCCTTTGGGTTGTCCTTGGGGCTGCTGCTCCAGGGAAGGTGCCTTCTTGGAGGGGAATGGCTCAGCATCACTCCTGGCACTGTGGGGCGTCTCTGCTGTCCTCAGCCACCCATCTGCCTCTCCAGCCCTTCCCAAAAAGGGCCTGGTTAGGGGAAAGGAGGGAAGCCATGGCCCTGACCCATCTCTAGATGCTGAAGCACTCATGGCTGGTGACCCCTGTTTGGTTTACGCCTTTTAACGGGGCAGCAGGTGGGAGGTTGGGATCCCTCCTGCATCCCTGGGGTTGGTGAACTGGTCCAGTAGGAAAGAGGATTGGGACTGTTTCTCCAGAGGGACCAGAAGGCACCTTCATGCTCTGCTGCACCTGCTGCACTGTGGTGATTCCCCCCTAATGTATTGACAAGCCTTCAGCTAGAGAGGAGGAGGAGGAGGGACACAAGGGGGGATCTGACTGTCAAGATCCATCACCAAAATAGCAAACACTTTCAAAAGCTGGGGAAAGGAACCATAACCCTCAACCAAACAACATGTACCTGGAGAGGCTGCAGCTGTGCACAGGTCTCTGGAGTGCCTGGAATGCTGGAGGGCATGAGGAAGGCAGTGGAGGAGCTGTGAGGAAGCATGGAGCACTCCAATGAGCAGTTGAACCCGACTGTCAAGGAGGGACTCAGCTCCCTCTCCTGCTCCCAAAGTCAGGAGCCTCCAAGTGCTGTGAGGACAGTCTACGGAATGCCTGACAAAAGGGTTCTGTGCCAGTTTAACTGGGTCAGGGTTAAGGGTCCATGGTGCTCCAGCCAGAGCAGAAGCGTCCTGATGTCTCAGCAGTCTGGTGGCCGGGCTAGCAGCGATTGACATCCCCAAGCCCTGGATCCAGCATCTGATGACCCCATCGTGCATCACTTGCGGAACAGACGCCTCCCTACAGGTCTTTTGGGACGTTATTTCATGTTGTTTAAAGCACAAACCACAGAAGTAACCCCCATAGCAGTCAGCAGCATCTCCTTATGGACGTGCTGTCACTGCCACTGCAACTGAGCCAGCGGAGGGAGCCCC